ACAAAAAAAAGAAAAGGCGATCTGTCCTTGTGTGGTTCCCCCAAAACCTGCAGAAAAAGGTACCCTCAACAAAGACACGTGGATCAAACCTCGGCCAATCCCAAGCCCGGAGGCTTAGCATGATTGAAACAGGCCCCTTCCGGTGATACCAAAGTGGGTTAACAAAGCACCAACTCTCTGTCATCCCATGTACCCTCTACAAAAGCCAGGGGTTCAGATTCCCAAGCCACCAATCCAAACCACAAGTCAAGGGCAACCTGACTATGGTTTCCCTTAGTGGGTCAAAAAGCTCTAACCTATTTTCCAGAAGGCGTCGAAAAGCGGGCTGCGAAAGACATCCGCCGCTCGGCTGTGCAAAAGCACCGCACCCCGGCCACTTGGTCTGTGTTTCTGGTGGTCTTTGCTGCGCCGGGGCACTGGCCAGGACTGCTTTCACAGCAACCGCAAGAGGACAAGGAAGCTGTCAGGGATGTTGTGGCACATGGGTTTCAAGCAAGGCTGACCAAAGGACTCGTTCCTTGGAAAAGGCGAAAAGGATTCGAAAATGCGATGGCATCCCCTTCATTGAGGGGGAGAAAGGTCGCTGCTCCCTCCCAGCAAAAAGGCCGACCTGACCCTGAACCTGTCGCCACAAGTCCACCCGCCCGCCCTCCACCTCGGCCACCTCGAAGAATGACCGGAAGAACTCCACTTACCCAGACCATGTCCATTCCCGGATGAATCAACTTGGCAGATAAACAAAAGGGTGCCGCCCCAAATCCCCTCTAGAACGCAACATCCCCAATTTAAAAATCGACCATGTGAATCAACTGTGCTTCAGTTCCCCCACATTCCTTCTACGTCCAAGTTCAGCATCACCCGACCTACAGGAAACTCCCAAACTTGGAGTGAACACATCCCAAGCCAAACATCTACTTGAAACACCCAAAAACACACCAAACACTTCAGAAAACACCAAAAACAGAAACACCAAAAAAAGAAACGACAAAAAAAGAAACAACAAAAAAAGAAACAACAAGAAGTAACGAAAAACCACCGCCAACCACTTCAAAACCCGAGAAAAGAAGAAGAAGAAGAAGAAGAAAAAGAAGAAGACGAAAAAAGGAAGAAGAAGAAAAAGGAGAAGACGATAAAAAGAAGAAGAACAAAAAAATAAGAAGGAAAAAAACGCCGACTTTGAGGCTCCCACTCACCCCAACCCCCGGCCAACCCCCCCTGATCCCCGATGTCGCCTGCTGCGCGCGGTCCAGCTTGGGCCCCTGGGCCTCGATGTCCTGCCGCAGCACCTGGGGCGCACCAGGAATTCTCTTCCCGTTGAAGGGGAGGGGGGGGGAAGAGGGAGCAGAAAAACCTCGGCCAGGAAAAACAGATGTGACAGGTTCATAAAAAAAATATATACCATGTTCGTAGAATACAATGGTTTAAAGGCTTTTTGTTTGTATTGTGTGTTGTTGTTATTCTCATTATTTTGTTTGTTTCTGCTTTGTTTTCTTCTCTTGGAGTGGGGGGAAAGCTACACAATATATATATATATATATATACACACACATACATATGTGCAACGAGCCTCACAGTATGTATAGGTATACAACTTAGGAACGTTTACCCATGAACTATATCCTATGCAAAGTCATAACATTATACAAATATATACAAGCTACACAGAACCATATTCACCAGGAAATAAGGATATCTACCCCAAAGGGGGTGAACCATACCAGGGGGGAATCGGTCGACCGATTTGAGCTGCAAATATGGCTGTGCTCAAAAATACGGATTCCCTGGATTCTACTGCTGCTTTCACCAGCCCAGCAAAAAAGACAACCCTCCGTGCTCAAGAAAATTGTCTGCTCGAGTGCTGAAACTTTGGATATAATCTGACTGCGAGCAGCCGAAATCCTGCCTGAGTTCTTTTCTCAACGCCCTGCACAAGAGGGTTCTATTGGAGGCCAATGTCTACTGTGTTCTGTTGAAGTGTAGGCTTGCGTCATGACATCAGTGCTCCGACCATTGAGTGTCTCAAAAGCCTTTCGGTCGGATTCCAGGATGCATGCCTCTCCGCTTGATTCTCCGATGCAATCGGATCTGACGAAACATAGCCCTCATGTGAGCATGAAAATTGGGAGAAAGCCCTCCGGGGGGTGTGCCCTTCCCTCAAAGCACTGCAGCGTTTCTGGAATGAGCCCAAATGTTTGGCATCCGAGTTCCGACAACTTCTCATCCGGGTATGATGAATGCTGAGAAGAATTAGTTGCTGTTTTTGAGGCACGTCAACTGCCGGACTCTTCCCAACGACAAGAGTAACCCATCTTGGATCACTCCTCAGGCGACCATCCACGGGGGGGTCGCTTTGCACTCGTTTGCTTGGACTCAAAGGCACATCCCGGGCCGCCGTGAGCTCGTTCACCTGCTCCTGCCAGGTTGACTTGGGGTTCTGAAATTGGAACCTGCCCGGCGGGTTGTCACTGTCTCACAAGTTGGGTGCGACAACTATTTGGCTACGGGCGCACCAGGTTGCCCTGTTCGTTCGACAGCACCACGCGTTTTCCCCTTTGCTGCCTCAAACACCCTGATTCTTGGACCCAAGAAAACTACTTCTTTTGGAATGGTTGCCTCCAAAAAATGCAAGCCAAGGGGCCATTCGCCAGCCAAATCTATTCGAAAGTCCACCTGCAAAAGTGATCTATACTGAGCAAAACCGAATGCTGGAGAAGCCCGATAGTAGCTTCGCGAGTGCGCCGGAACAAATTCGCAAAGCAGCAGCTGGGATGTGGGAGTGATTCACTGCGCCACCCTTGCATGTCAGAAGAAACATGTTTGAATTTACTCCCATTGCAAAACAGCATCAAAACACGAACGCAATAACGCATGAAGCTTGCCGGTGGCAGCTCGCTGAGTGTACCCATGCCAATACAGATATGCCAGTGATAGCGAATGCCGCTACTTTGGACGATTCAAGGCTGGGCGCATTCCACCACGCACTGTAAGCACACCCTGTAGTATGCGGTCCATTGGAAGATGTTGCGATATACTGAGATATCTTGAGAAACACGACTAGGATGCGGAGACATCCAAAAGCTTGACGTGTTCCCAGAGGGGAAAAAAAAAAAAAACATGCTTCCCCCAAATCCTAGGTGTGCTTCAGAAAACGAACCTAGATGGCAGTGGTGAATAAAAAGAACAACTCTAAATCTAGTGGAATACGGCCCTTTCAGGACACCTACTTACACGTCCCGCCTCCAAGTGCTGCATTGATCGCTGCAGCTCCTACAAGCGGAAGCTGCGGAAGCAGAACTAGGGGACCCTCACGAATGGCTTCCTAAAAGTGGGTGTCCTGCGCGCAACAACAGAGGGTCCCAACATGTCGGACTCACCCAACTGTATGTGTATATCTGTATATACAGAGAGAGAGAGAGAGACAGAGATAAAGTGTAGTGTCAAGAGTTGGACTGACAACAACAACGACGACAACCGTAGCTGCGACAACAGCGAGAGCGACGGCCAAAGCGAAGGCGGCGGAGTCAGCGGCAGCAACAGCATACTACCAGCACCCCAATGCCAACACCAACACCGCTGCCACCGCCACAACCGCCAGCAACGACAACGACAACAACAGCAACGACAGCGATGACAACGACAAGAACAATAATAAGAATGGAACAAGAAAAAGAAACCAGAACAAGAAGAAAACCAGAAGAAGAACCAGAACCAGAACAAGAAGAAAAACAAGAACAAGAACAAGAACAAGAACAACAAGAAGAACAAGAAGAACAAGAAGAACAAGAAGAACAAGAAGAACAAGAATAACAGAAGAAGAACAAGAAGAACAAGAAGAACAAGAAGAGCAAGAAGAACAAGAAGAACAAGAAGAACAATAAGAAGAAGAAGAACAACAACAACAACGACAACGACAACGACAACGACAACGACAACGACAACGACAAACGACAAACGACAAACGACAAACGACAAGCAACAAGCAACAAGCAACAAGCAACAAGCAACAAGCAACAAGCAACAAGCAACAAGCAATAAGCAACAAGCAACAAGAAACAAGCAACAAGCAACAAGCAACACACAACACACAACACACAACACACAACAACCACAACAACCACAACAACAACAACAACCACAACAACCACAACAACCACAACAACCACAACCACCGCAACCACCACAACAACCACAACCACCGCAACCACCACAACAACCACAACAACCACAACAACCACAACAACCACAACCACCGCAACCACCGCAACCACCACAACCACCACAACCACCATAACCACCACAAACACCACAACCACCACAACAACCACGACAACCACAACCACCGCAACCACCACAACCACCACAACCACCACAACCACCACAACCACCACAACCACCACAACCACCACAACCACCACAACCACCACAACCACCACAACCACCACAACCACCACAACCACCACAACCACCACAACCACAACCACCACAACCACCACAACCACCACAACCACAACAACAACAACAACAACAACACAACAACAACAACAACAACAACACAACAACAACAACAACAACAACAACAACAACAACAACAACAACAACAACAACAACAACAACAACAACAACAACAACAACAACAACAACAACAACAACAACAACAATGACCGCGACCACCACCACGACAACGACGATGACGACGACTACCACCACCGCCATCACTACGACAACCACAACCACAACCACGAAGACGACGTTGACAACAAGAAAGAAAAACCTTCATGTTGACTACAGCAACAAAAGGCTTTGTGATGACTACAGCAAATGACTAAACACAAAGCATCCACAGCAACTAAGACACGCGCACGCATCAGCAGCCACTTCGAAATGATATGAGCTAGTTATTTGGTACATAGTCGCATGGTCGGGCGTTCCCGCCTTTCTCCAAACCTGCACCCCCTTTGACTCATTGGTCAGGTTGCTCAAAAATGGCTCCGCCCGGCCTCAACTGTAGTCTTCTGTAAATAAAGGCAGTCGCTCAGACACTGCATCCAACAACGACAACAAAAATTGCAACAACAATGAAAACTACTGCGATACCAACAATGGCAACGATGCATCCAAATGGACATTGACAGCGGCAAGATACGTCCTCGAAGCGATTCACATCCTCCTGTGCCTGGTAGGCCGTGGTATTCATTCTGACCATCTTGAACCGATCATCTGGGCGTGAATTTTACTGAGGACCTTTCGGAGGACATTTTTTGGTTGATGAATTCATGTGCACCAACCACTCTTGAGATGGTTCCCTACTTAAATAGCCTGCTCATGGGATGCCTGAATGCTCACAAATGCCAGGACAGCCCAGAGCAAAAACCCGTGGCAAGTGGCAGTCTGAAATAAGCGGTGGCATGCGCCTAGGCCTATCGCTGTGTCAAGTTTGAAGCTGCCAGTGTGACACGCCGATGGAACAAGGCGATATACCGAAGTAGTCAGTGCACTACGAAGTAGTCGGTGATCTCACGTAATGTATTTGTGGCAAACATCATGTGCCACAGTCACGTAAAGAAAAGAACAAATGTGAGGGCAGAGGGTGTAGAAAAATGTCCGGTGCGTAAGCATTCTATCAAGCTCCATTTGTCTGCAACAAAATCAATCCGGGCACTTTTCGCCAACTGTCAAAGATACTTTCCTGCACGAAGGGCCAAATGATCACATCACGTCAAGATACGCATATATACATGGGCGTCATGGTGCGTGCTTTCTTGAAAACAAGTCAGAAGCGAATCCAGCCTCCTGCTCGATCTGCGCGAGAACCTGAAGGTCATGGGAATGGAAGCGGGGAGCGGAGCACCGTACCATCTGGTGCTTGCAATCCCTCTGTGAAATTTCAAAATGGGCTTAAGCTAACTATCAAGGTTGCCCGCTGCACTTAAGCACGTGTCTTGCAAGCATTTAGCCCGGTTGAAGCAGGGTGTGAACAATTGGTCAGGATAGACATGTTTTCGGGATGTCAGCAATCAATAACGCGGCACATACCCAGGTTCAGCACCTGCCCTCTTGTCAGAACCCCCACGGAGACACCCGTGAATCCAAGCAATTCACTGCGGCAAGGCCCAATATCAAATCAAACTGTACTCACATGTTTCAAGGTCAAAAGCAGGCAGGCCCATACGTCAAACAAAGTGGCGTAAGGTGGAACTGAGTTGACTGGGAACATCAACAACTGAGCCCATTTATCAAGAGACGATGCAAACTGCTACTGTCACGCAATAAATTTTCCGGCTTGCCTTTACTGCGCGACCAGCATTCTCACGACTTTTGCTCTGCCGGCTTGAGCTTCAACATGCGCCGTAGCGCAAGTGACTCACCTCCCGAGTTTAAGCTATTTAACCGCCAGCCAAAATTCCTTAAGCGCAGCCAAATCCCATAAGTGCAGCTAAAATTCCTTAAGTGCAGCCGAAATTCCTGAAGCGCAGTCAAAATTCCTTACGTGCAGGGTTAATTAGCTTAAATGGGGGGGGGGAGGTGCACTTAAGGAATTTCAGCACCGAAAACCACTAAATTCACCACCAAATTCATCTCGAGCAGGCTAAGATCCTTAAGTGCACCCCCTCCTGAATTTCAGCTAGCTATCCCTGCACTTAGGGAATTTGGCTGCACTCAAGGAATTTTGGCCGCACTTAGGGAATTTTGGCTGCGCTTAAAGAAACTTTGGTTGCACTTCAGGAATTTTGATTTTGGCTGCAGTTAAGGAAGAAACTTCTAAATTCAGGGGGGGAGGGGGGTAGGTGGGTGCGCTTAAGGAACTGTGGCCGCACATGAGGAATTTCTGGCTGCACCACAACAATTTTACTGCACGTGCTAAAGGAATTTCGTCTACACTCAACGAGATTTGGCTGCACTAACATTCTTGGCTGGGCCGTGCTTGTGGAATGTGGCCCGGTGATCAAGGCAGGAGCTCCCCCTTCATTTCTAGCTGACTAAGCACCATCTCCATATGCTTAGTGTTGAAACTCTCATGCATTCCCACAAATCCTTGCCATCACTCCCCATTTGGCAATGTATGCCACCGCGGCCAACAAAACAACAACATTGTGCACTTCCGGCATGTGACGTTTTTGATTGCGACACGGCTCGATCCCACCATGTTAAGGTTACTCAATGAATCAACAACAAGTGCTCTTGTCACGCAAAAAGCCCGCGAATCTTGCAAATTCTATAAATAAACAAGTTCATGACTCCAGCGCATTCAAAACGAAAACTACTCTGTCTAGGGGCTCCAACAAAAGGCTCCAAAACTTTGGCCAAGTACTAGGGATGGCGGGGTACAGGAAATGCTGAGAATGCAGGCAATGGCAGAGATGCAGCGTGCAAAACCCCGTGCTTCTCGATGTTGTCCAAAATCAACCAAAAAAGGATGACAGCAACCCCCTTCAATTACCCGAAATATAGACTTCTGAAAAGCACAATCATGCTGGGGATGTTTCGCAGCGACAGCCCTATATGGCGAAAACACACACCAACCTCGCAAGCACCCAGCACAAGAAACAAAAGCGACAAATGGAAACATCTCAGTGGCAACTGCCAAAAGCAAAAGCACAACTCAACGGCATATCTGCCCTTTCACCAAAGCAGAGAGGGATAGGGAGAGAGGAGAGCGAAGGAGAGAGGGAGAGATGGAGAGGAGAGAGAGAGAGAGAGAAAACAAAAAAGAAAGGAAACGCTTTCCTGCTCCACAGGAACTTGGATCATCGTCCCTCCCGCAGCAAAGTAGCTAACACGCGGTTTACCAAATCCTTGGAACTTGAGGTAAAGTGGAGGACGGCCAATGAGTTGCTTTAGTGGGCTGACTTGCGTGGCATCCGCGGTCACCAGTCGCGAGCGGCAGCGGCCTTCTTCTTTTTGAAGAGGACCTCGTTCGCAGCCCGGGACTGCTCCTCCAGGGTCTGCTTCTCCTCGCGACATCGGCTCAGGAAGCCGGTCACTAGGGAACTGCGAAAGCCACACGAAACAGAAATCGGAAAGGGGCTCATGGCTTGGTGATTGCGTAAATGTCTGGCAAGCTATCCATCAAGCAGGTACCACAACTCACAGCTGGGTCAGGAAGAGACAATCAGGGGCTTTCTGCAGTATGCTTGATTGATTCGTGTGCCACCTCAATGGCAGTCACAAGTGCATGCCTGTGTTTTGAACATTTGTCCGGTCTGCACTTGGGCAGTATTTCGGAATGCTGTTCGTCCTCCTTCCGCTCATTTGGTGAAGGGTGGATCAATGTAGGTTCGGTTCAAACCAAATCCGCATCAAACCCAACAAAATTGCGAGGGTCCCGACTGGGTCTGACACATGTCTGTGGCGTGCCTGGGAACTGCCTGCCTCAACCTCGGACTGATTCTGCAGGTTGGTGGTCTGCAAATTCTCTTTGAACTTCTGGTTCCGCTGCACCAGGTGCCCCTGAACACTCCATGTGCGTACACTTGCCGGTGTGGGTCAAAATTAAAACACCAGGGGACCGCAGGTTCTAGTCATTGGTTCCATTTACCAGGGGTCGACTTTGGGTACCCCTTTTTGACTCACAGCCTTATGCAGCAAGTTGTGGCCGGACAAAGACTTGCAGCCACTGCAAGCTCAATATCCCGGCAATTGCAGTACAAGTAATTTCTGCAGCAAATACCATGCACGTGGCCTGGAGCTACCCGAAGCGGATCATCCCCCAATCTCCGCGGTCCCAAACGAAAAAGTGAAGCTTCCTGATGAGAGAACCAGAAAACACCACTGGAAGCAAGCCGAAGAGACGCGTCAAACTAAGACGCTCAAGGACCCCGTGCATATGAGTGCGAGGTATCTCAGATTGCTTGAGCTTGCAACATGAGTGTTGCTGTGCCAAATGATGCTCATTTGTGGAACACCCCTTGCCCAATTGTGTGCCGCACAACATGTATGTGCCGTGCAAAGAGCTCGAGGGATGAGAGACAGCCACAACTGAGGCAGTCTTTCAACAGTGGCACGGTAAAATGATGGGCATGATGAAATCAGTGAAGCAGACTGATGATGATCCCGCTGAAACCTCGCCCATCATCCTCGCCCAACCACGTGAGGCTGCGGCTAGAGTGTTTTCCAACGACCGGATCTCCTCACTGCAACATGCGGTATGCTCATGGGTCTGCTGGTCTGCTCACGGGGTTGACTGCTGGGGCCTTTGGTAAACTGACCTGAATCCGGCGCCTTTGTTTGGAGCACGCGAGCCCGCCCCCAACCTCAGGTCACAAGAGGCGTGCAAAATGCCGTGAGTCGAGGCCTCCCCTCGTGACTTCCCGACCCCAAGGGTTTGGAGGTCACCGGACACCCCAGGCTGATCCTTTTGCAACGCTTGTTGGACCAGGTCGGGCATGGCAAGAGATCTAACTCTTCGGGCCATACATTTTGTCCAACTTGTCCAGAAAGGACCCTCCCTCCCCCCAAACAACGCCCCCCACCACAAACAAACCACCCCAAACAACACCCCCCGCCCAAAAAAATAATGATTGTCCGAAACAATACCCCCCTCCCACCGCGAACCGCGAGCGAGTTGACTCTTTCCTTCTCCGCGCGCCGGATCTTGTCGTCCAACTCGTCCCCCCGGCGCTGCAGCTCCTCCTTCTCCTGCGCCGCCTGACGCGAGCCAAGCCCACGACCGCTTGGCCTCGATCTGGGGATCGGGACCATCGGCTCCCTCCTTTTGGGCGCCACTGGCGCCTTGATCTCCCGCTGTTCGGAAACCAGTCTAAAAATATCAGAAGCTGGGAACCCTTGTCGGCTGGTCCGGCTGGTCCGGCTGGTCGACCAGCAGAGAGACAAGACACAAATTGCCAAGCGCCGGCCTTGATCATGTAATGGGCCTGGCTGAGCTGCTCGCCCTCCTCTTTCTTCACCTAACTCGACACAATTCGGAGCCTTCGGGTTCGACCCCTCCGAAACCCTCTCCGGCCCTGGGAGCTTGGGGATACAGCCAGCTGTCCAACAAGCAGGTGCTCAAACTTAACTGATTTCGAGGGGCTCCGGCGACTCCGTTCCAGCTTGTGGCAAGACAAGCAAACGCCCCTCCTGTTGAACCTATGTGATGCATTGCGGCATACCCATCAATGAATCTTCTTAGGATGGAAACAAAGGTTATCCATCCCATGAGAATGGCAAACGAAAAGGCGGACGGGATAAAGGCAAATTCAAAACGTTCTCAGCGATCGCAGAGAAACCGAAGGAGCATCCTGCCACACAGCAGATGGCTGACCATCCGGAGGCTGCCTAGTTGTAGTGACCCAGATTGGGAAGTGATCTTCCTAGGACCGGCTGAGTGGTGATTGGGAAAATAGAAGGCTGCTTTTGAGGCCCTTCAGCTAGGCGAGCGTGCCCTCTCAATGACTGAGCACCGTGCTGCCAGAGCCTTCCCCAAACACTTAGGCAGGCCTGATGTATGTGATGTAACAAAACGTATCGTAAGGGAATGTACTGAACTCTGATGTAATTTAATGTGATGACATGTACAGAATGCAATGTAATGCAATGTGACGTGACGCAATGTAATGTACTGTGCTGTGCTGCACTGGAATGTAGTGTAATGCAATGCAATGTACTGTAGTGTTATCTAAATTAATATAATGTTCTGTATGTAATGCAATGCAGTGCAATGCAATGCAATGCAATGCAAGGCAATGCAAGGCAATGCAATGCAATGCAATGTAATCCAATGTAACATAATCCACTGCGCTGTGCTGTGCTGCACTGCAATGCACTGTACAGTACTGTAAAATTAGGCATGTAGTGTATGTTGGCATGTGATGCAATGTGACATTACAGGAATGTGTCTAATGTGATGTAAAGTAATGTACTGTACTGCAGCACAGCGAGTGTAATTTACCGCACTGTGCTATGATAAAATGCAAGGTAACGTATGTAATGCAGTGTAATGTAATGCGACGTTAAGTGTTGTACTGTAGTGTAATGTATGCAATGTGACGTAAAGTAACGCAACATATTGTAATGCAATGCAAGGCAATGCAATGCAAGGCAATGCAATGTAGTGCAATGCAATGCAGCGCAGCGCAATGCAATGCAATGTACTGTAGCGTAATGAAACTTATGTGGTCATGTATGTATGTCTGTCTGTCTGTCTGTCTGTCTGCCTGTCTGCCTGCCTGCAATGTATGTATGTATGTATGTATGTATGTATGTATGTATGTATGTATGTATGAATGAATGAATGAATGAATGAATGTATGATTGTATGTGTGTGTGTGTTTGTTTTGTATGTTGGTATGTACGTACGTACCTATGCATGTGTACGTGCATGTGTATCTATATATGCACTTGTCCGGTTGATTAGTTATGCCTTCATTTGTGACACATAACAAATTGCAGTGTACCTTTAAAATGTGTACATGTAGATGTGAGAATATATATATATATGTATATAATGTATGTATGCATATTAGTGAAAAAGTGCCCAGTATGCACTTCAGGCATGAACAATAAAATGAGCTGCTCCCAAGACGCTTTGGCTTTTGGTTCTCTTAAGATGCTTATAAAGGGGGTTTATACAGGCGTTACTAGCTTGCGGTACTCCTCGTTACGCCAGATAAATTCCCCTGCTCAAATGACCAAAGGGGGTTGGGCCTTGCTCAAATGCCAGCTGCAAAAAGTAGGGGGGGGGGAGGGGGAAGGCTTCGATTCCATCGAAATGAAAGGCCCAGCCTTGCTCATGACGTTGTCGTACTTGCTCTTCCTTGGCTGGCAATGCCCCAAATCACACAGAACCCAGTTCTGGCTAAGGTATAAAAATTGGCTGACATCTTCAAGAATGAAACCTCCTGGATGTGGGAGTTGCCTCGTCCACAAACTGGGAATTGATGCAAGTCGAGACCGAAGCTGGAAACTTGAGCCAGTGGCGGTCGGGTGGTCGGTTGGTCGGCTGGTCGGTCAGCCGACTAGCCATGGCCAGCAAGGAAAAGTCAAGGGAACCCAAGCGTACGAACACTCACCATGTCGAATTCACTTTCAGGAATGTGATTCCTCTCGGTCACGATTCGACAACAAACTTCTTAAATGATAAACTCCGGGTGAAATAAACATGGGGTTTAAGACGCACGACCAAAATGCATCCTGCGCAGACCCAAGTTGAAGCCAAGCCGGATGCGTTCCACTCTGGTCCTTTTTGTTATCTTCCGTAATCTAAATCCGACGACGCCAGTCGAGCGTGCAGATGGCAATCCGCAACTTGCTCTTCCTTCGGATTTTTGTGTGAAGCCGACGGCTTTCGGGGAGGCCATTTTTCGTCAAAATGTGCCGCTGTCCAAAACCCTGAAACCCTGCAATGTTCCAGTGGTTGGGTCTTCGAACGCCTAAACCGCGTGTTTTGTCCAGGTCTCCGGGAGGGGCGGAGGAGTATGCCTACGGTGGTATGACTTTTGCTACTGTTTGTGCTGATATCCATGTTGCTTTTCCGTTTCGATGTTTGGGGTCTTGGCGGGGACAACTGCAGTGACGATCTAAGGAACTGCTTTTGCAAATTCTCTCCTCTCGTAAAGCATCTTAAAAATGGCATCGCTGCGAAACATCCCCAGCATTATTGTACTCTTGGAAATCTTTATCGGGTATAAATTTGAAGGGGGCTTCTTTGATGGTTGATTGAAACGCTGGTTGTTTGCACGCTGCATCCCCAGCATTCGCTGCATTCCCAGCATTCCCCGCACCCCTGCCCTCCCAGTACGTTTTTTTGGCGTCAGGAGTTCGGGGTCTTCGACCCAATAGGTTTGTCCTACTTTGTGAAGTCTTTATGGGACATGTGTTTGGGATAATGTCACTTATATACTGATTTGTCACGTCCGAAATTCATACAATGATAGACGCGAAAACTGGACCGTCGCACCACAAATAACGTTGCGGATCGCGTAGCGATTTCAATACTTCAGAGGTCTTTGTTGATAGCCTTAATGTGCGGCCTCATTACCTGTATCATATCTCTGTTAGACAACGCGCAACAAACGGTATGGGATACGTTCAGGTCTGCGGTCTGATGGTTTCATTTTCACCCACATATGACGACACGGGAAACAGGATAGACCAGTGAAACAAACGCTCTAAAGCCAAAGGTCCCTTTGACCTTTAAAAGGTCATGTTAGAGCCAATGAGGGTAAAAACCAATTGACCCATATCCAAATACGTGCCATTCGTTTTCATCTCAATCTCAGATCGGAAGCACCGCTCGCTCCAGCGATCGACCCATCCGAGGGCTTCACAAGGTGAAGATCTTCTGCTTGCGCTCCGCAAGCTCAATCGCCACCTGAGGCGTGTCGCCGGTGGTGTCCCTTTTTGGAGTCCCCTTTAAACCAAGGAGACATGGGCATCCTTAAACAACATATATATTATATATGATATCACCTTTCATAGATTCACCTTCTGTATATATATATATATACTCGTATTTCTACTAGTGTGGTCGACACTCCCACCAGTGTTTTGTTCAACGAAACGCGTCTCCGCTTGCTTCACGTCGGTCTCTAGACTAAAGCGGGCGACATCCGCAAAGCTTGCTCAACTGGAGCCTGGCAGAAGTGTGTTGATCTACTGGGCCGGAAGTCGTCTAAAGTTCACTTGGAAAGGAAAGCTGAAGCTTGAGTTGACTGCCGAAGCCAAGCAAGGACAGAGAAGAGGCAGGCTCCAGCCAATGAAAGCTTTGCCTGGCATGGACAAAGACTACAATAGTGAAAGCCGCGAAAAGGACAGGAGCATTGGAAGAGGAAGAGAGACAACAGGGAGCGCCCATGCAGGACTGCATAGGGTAAGGCGCCCAAATTGATATATATATATATAGAGAGAGAGAGAGAGATAGGGGAGCTGTCTCAAAGTGAGAGGGGCCTGGAAGGATGTTCCAAAGAAGCCAAAAGCACATCAGCCAGCTGGACAATTGGAAATGGCTCCTGATTTTGAGGACCACTCTTCCGCAAAAATGATAGACGTGCAACCCTCAGGACGGAAAGGAGAGTGGCTATATGTGGACAATATCAGCTGTTTCACTTTGTCTGCAAGAACAAAAAAAAAACGAGATTGCTGACTCGGCAAACCGCCGCCATAACGTGTTTGCGCGGACGTGCCAATGCCCCTCCTTTCTGCCAACTTACAAGATCCAAGTGCCTTCCTGGCAAAACCAACAAAGTAAGCAATCGCTGCCTTTTTCCTGTGGGGATAAAAACCAAGCCCCAACTGGCCCTTACATCCAAAAAAAGCAACAACAAAAAAAAAAAGACATAAAACGAAACGCACCTCATGCCTTGGGTGAGTGCCCATCCATTGCCGGTGCCTTGTGCTTCTCTTCCTCCGCGGCCCGCAGCTGTGCCCGCAGAACCTGGCAGAGGCCGGACTTCCGCGGCGAGGCGCGGAAAAATCCCGTGGGCGGCGGTGAAACCGTCTTTCTGAGGGTTTTTGCATTACACCCTGGGAGTGCACCCACTGGGAAATGACCCCATTTAGGCATATGTCCGGATAAAACCGTGTTGTTTTGCACGATTGTGGCTCATTGTCCAATGGTGTAATCCCACAAATTAATACAAAAGCCCTTAAATTATTGGTTTTAGGGAAAGGTTTAAGACACGTGTTGTCCGTTTCTTGACATTTAGACTCAGAACTAAGGCCATCCCCAAGAAGGTCGCTTCCTCAAAGGTGACACAACACTACAAATGCATTGAGTACTGCTGCCTGCATCCCGGGTGCATTAGGGTGCTACAAGTAGCGCTCAATGAGCCGTACAGGTGCTTCTCACAAGTGGGAACCTCTTGAGGTGGGTGGCTTCCTTGTGGTCGCCCTTTAGAACCACCAAAAAGGGATCCCCTATTTTGAGAAACCCCCATGCAATGGTTGCTGATGTTGTCTGACTCCTTGCCTGAAAAGACGAGAAGCCGCTTCGGCGTCTTTCTGTGCTGACGTTTCTGTGCGCTTGTAGCGTGAAAGCTACCTCGTAAGAAAAACAAACTTTATCCCAGGGCAACCTGGATAACCCGGGGTTCATGCCGCACGAAACTCTGCAAATCCAAGGACCCGGGTCCAATCCCATTCCCTTCCCTCTCTCTCTCTCTCTCTCTCTCTCTTTCTCTCTCAACAATTACCACACTCCAAACTCCTCATGGTGAGGGATGCTCTTGCTCCCCTTCTGCAGAAAGAACGTGGCCCGCCCCTACCACCCAGTATCCCACGCAACCGAAGTAACATGTCCTATCATGGCTCGCACCAACGGCCAATCTTCAGTCCGGACATGAAAGCTCGGGCCAGCGGTGGCATGCCCAGGCCTCCGTGTGCACTTCGATCTCTTTCTCCCTCTCCTGCCATCCAGCAAAGTCATGGGAAACGAGCTGAGAGGACGGCAAAGAGCCGAGCCAACGTGCGCGACATGCAAATAACGGTGACAAACGGCGAGAAAACAAACTCAAGAGCCCATAGAAGTTTCTTGGTATGCCTCTGCCAAGACACAATGACTGATGTCTCGGTCTCGGGTAGTCCCAAGGCAATAGCAGCTTCAAACACCATGTGATTGAATGCTGAAACGCCTGTAACAAACATGTTGGGACATCACCCTGCTCCCAGCCCCTTCTGCTTATGCTTCAGGCAAAGGAAATACAAAGGCCGGAACCTCTCCTATCCGACGCAAACTCAAAGTTGCAACAAATGGCCTGACCAAGGCCGAGCTGTAAGGTTTGCCAAGGCTTTCTTCCGGGGACGACCCCTGTCACGAGGCCCTGTTCTGGACTGGCACCTCCATGCTGATCTGTAGCTGCTGCTTGCGATTCTCCAAGCTGTACCTGTTTGCACGGGCTGCAAACTAGTAAGAGCTGATGTCGCGCCCTCGGAAACCCCGTTCAGTGTTGCCTGACTAGTGATGTGGGAAGCTTGCCATGAAGGCCTGCCATATCAAGCAGCAAAACCAACGGCTTGTGACTCTCATGGACACTGGACTTGCCTGGGCCAGGGAAATGTTGCAGGAGACCTTCAAAATCTGCAGCCAGAGAGTGGCAAAAAAACAAATGGGCTCTTTCACCAAACTATCGGCCTGACTTCCCAGTCACCCAAGGTGCATGCCAAGACCAATTAAGAAAGAGTCGGACTACCAAGTCCCGTTGGGGCACAAGTTCTCGGTCTTGGATGACAGCTGCTGCTTCAGACGCTTGACCTGCCGAGGTGAAAGCGGAACAATAGGGCCTCCTGTGGAGTGTGAGGGAAGCAATGGCGACGCCACCCCTCATCTAGGTGTGCCATGTAGTTGGGGTTGTTTTGGAGGGAATCCAAAGGGAACCCGCTCTTGCCACCGGTTGTCTTTTGAGACAAACTCTTATCATAGCAAACACCTTGAGGAACGGTCCACTGTTCGGGTGCTCCTGTACAGCCCGATAGCTCCGCAAAAAGACACGAGTTGCAGCTTTTGAGGTCTTTCACAAAGCCGGCCCTTTTGAAAGCCACTGCCCCCACCTCCAACTTCAGGATGTCGTGCTGCATCAGAGACTCCTCCTTGTCCTTGCAAAACGGGGTTGAAATGATTTGGCGTTTGCCAGAGAACACCCTTGCGGCCCTACTGGCTGGCATCCCAAAAGTACAGCAAATCGCCACATGTCATGTTCTGACTGCATCTGACCAGGCTGTCCGTCAGCGGTTGATACCATTTCACGAACAACACTAGACCATCAGTCAGCAAAGGATGATTCGAAAAGGAAGCACAAATGACATCCCTACCTTTTGAAATGTTCTAGCTCATCTCAAGCCAACCCACAAACCGAAGGGTCAAGCTCAGTTGGGAAAACTGCCTCAGCAACTGGGAAAGAGCGAATGGGGAAGAATCCCCCTCCCATTCTGAGTCGCACATGTTCTCCAACGGCTCTAGAACTCTTCCCCTGTCCCTGCTTTCCCCAGCCCCTGCTTGTTTGTCTGTGAGCGATGTTAAAATGAAAACAAGCGCGGCACGGAGCAATGTTCTCTCAAACGTGCCGAACGACTCCTCGCTGTCCCGAGAAGAACTCCCAAGAAAGGGCTAGCATGGCTCTTTCTGTCCACTCAACTCGTTGTTTGTACATGGCAGTCCTCCAAACTCTGCTGCCCCTCCCAACAGTAGCTGGCAAACATAAACGTTTTGCAAACGGCTCACACTGACCGCTGGCCTTAACCACCTTGGCGACCGCGCCTGAGCAATTCAGGCCCAGCCCATCAGATTCGTGGTGTGGTGAGTCAAGGTGCCTAAAACCTGCCAGAAACAGTTGAATTCAGCTGCTGAAAGGCCCAAAGACAATGGCGGTTGATCCTTTTCTTGGCTTCCTAATGGCTTCGGAACCAACAGAAGGAAGCTGCGAACTTTGAAGCCAGAGCAAAGGAACGTGAAAAAAGACAAAGACCTACTACTCATACTCCGTGCAAACAGCAAGTCCTGGGTGTGAACATGCTTAGAACGGCAGGCACCCCTGCAGAAAAAGCGGGAAGAACATGTGCCAAAGTCCAAATTGAAGCTCCTCTGCCCCGGCCACCTCCATCAAAAGGCTGTGCAAATCTGAGGATCGGCCAATCTAGTTGTCGGAAAAACACTGCAAACACATTCATAACCCAAGGGGAAGATGAATTGCATTTGAACAGCCATGAGCACCAAACAAAACTACGATCCAGACCCACGGGGCCCAAGTCTGAGCCAAGAACGGTTCATGATGGTATTTTGCAGCTCGAGCTCCTCCATAGTGGTCTTCATGCCCTGCGCTCGCAAGCGGATGGATGTCTCAAGTCCGATAGATTCAATTGAGCAAACGACCAGCGCACTCGCACAACTGGAAATGCAACCAGTCTCAATTTAGGGAAGCCCTCGGAGGGTTTGGCTTGGGTTTGGTCCAAATCCCGACTTGCAAGAGGTGGCCCGTCGATTTCCACGAGGCAGCAGGCTCCTCTTCATCGGCCGATGTCTTGCCCCGTTTCCTCGTATTTTCATCTACAAATTGGATGGGGCAGGTCCTTGGCAGAAATTTTCGGTCGAGCGCCTCGCAGTCTTTCTTGACATTGGCCAAGGTCCTCTGCGAGTTCTTCAGCTCCGCATCCTGAAGGCCCGAGCCGGACAGCCACAGCCGAGAGAAAGCGACGCCGGAAAGACTCCAAGAGGCCGGAGAGGTCCTTCTGAAACGCTCCAAATCTCTTGCGTTCCCACGTAGTCGGGATGACAGCGTTGGATTTGTTTGGCGCATTTTTGAGATGAAACTGGGACCAGTAAGACATGTAGCGCGAAAGCACAATGTGGAGATGTTGTGTGAGGCTGTGATCAACTTCGCAGATGAATTTCAGGCAACTTCCGCATACCAACATTGCATGACAAGGTTTGCTTGACAGGTGTTCAAACTACCTTGACCTTCTTTTGCTGCTAATTTCCATGCCAAAACTTATGGCTTTTCCCAGGTGCCACATGGGTGATGTAAAGGCCGAATCCGTGCAAACCAAGTATGAGGCCATTGCGTCTCAAGTCGAAAAGGGTCCTTTGAGTCCAAAGAATCCGTTGCCAACTTCCTATCATTGAGCCGCTGCTCAAGTCCCCCTCAACTCTCCCACCCTTCCCTTCGCGCCTTCTTCCTGAGCTTCCGGCAAGTCCCCCTCTGGCCCCCTCTGGCTTAACCTCTGGCTTAACCTCTGGCTTAACCTCTGGCTTAACCTCCGGCAAGTCCCCCTTCAACCTTTTTGTGACTCCCTCTGGCTTAACCCTCCGAGCGCCCCATCCGCCCATCCGCCTGCCGCTTGATCTGCGCTTGGAGGATGGCGTGCAAACTCTTCTGCTCCTCCAGCTGCTTCTCCAGCTGCTCCGCCTCGTGTTTTGAACCCGTGGAACTGATGGAACCCATCAACCCCCCCGTCCTTTCGGGGGGAGAAAAGTATGGAGAAAGATGAAAAGGGAACAAAAGGGAACTGGTACACGGGGCAAATGGCAAGGTACCCCCAGGAAATCCTTTTGCGGGGTTTGAAGGCAAACGAAAAGCGGACTCTAACTCTTGTTGGGGTTGTCGTTCCGCCTTCGCAAGGGTCAAAAGGTGCCCAAAATCAATCAGATATCTACACCGATTTATGACAAGGGGGCATAGCTTCAGATACCCAGGTTTGGCCTCAGCTGGAGTTAAGCATGGCCAACTGCCAACCGAAATCCGAAAAGGGAAGGCCGGCAAAAAGTCCTTCAGCGTTTTTTGCTTCAAGTTGCTTCATTCGAAGCAACATTCAACTCCCGCTACTAAACGCCCATGCTGAACGCCGCAGCGAGACAACAGCCCGGTCCGGAAGGGAACTTCAGGCATCCGGGTGAGAATTTGCCAGGATGCATCCATGGCCTCTGGCCCATGATCGAGATTTCTTTGCACGGAAGAAGAAAATTGAGGAAGAAGAGAGAAAAACGGATCCCCTCTCCGCAAATCGGGTTGAGCTAAGAGACAATGACCCCAGACAATGACCCCGGCGACCGCCAGAAGAGAAGGCCTTGCGGTTATGCTCCTCCTTCTCCTCGATGGTGCGCTCGCCGGAAACTCGCGCCACCTCGCACATGCGACGGGGGAAACGCCAGCAACATTCGGCTGGCGCCTAGCGCCCCCGATGGCCTGAACCTTCACTCACGCGGATCGCAGGGAATGAACCCGGGGCTTTGGGAATGAACCTCCTTTTCTCCGAAAAGGGATGGCTCGCTCGAGTGTGGCGAAACCCGGCCTTACGCTGCATGAGCTGGGACTGGAAGTCTACAGCGTAGAGCAGCTCCTCGTTTGGTGAACATCATGTGGGGATTCATGTCCACCACTTTTGGACCGGTTTAGAATCTTATAAAATTCAGGGCCCGTTTGGAACTGCAGACTCAAAGTTCCTGTGGCGAGGCACTTTGGGCACTTCTTGGCAATGGGTGCATAAGCAACACGAAGACGCTTCATGTTTCAGAACCCCCAGCTGCGACTACCTGCTTATCAAATCTCAATGCACTTGCTCGTGCGGGCCTCCTTCCTTCAGATCCAATTGAGCTGCTACAACAGACCTCATCCTGATTCGGACCCTTGAGTCGTGCAAAAACTACGGGGTACCCTTCCACATCGTTTCTTCATGGGGTATCCACCGTCGCTCCTGCTGGCGCTGCCGCTCTTGGTCCAGCTTGCTGATCTGTAGCTGGAGGTTCTTGATGGCCGACCTGAGAGACCCTCGTTCCCAGCCTGGGTTCTTGGACCCATCAGTCCAAGGCGAAAGGTCAAACAAATAGCAACACAGCCGATCTTAGGGGAATGAAAGGAGCCTGCAGAAGTGGAATTATTTGCATTTGGTCCCCCTTCAACTAGAAATATCCTCTTTGTGCCCGTCAGGCAAATGCATGGCTTAGAACATGGATCATCGTTGCCCTTGAGAAATCTGCTCTATCTTTTGTACAAGCTGAATCCATTTTCTCGATGTACTGCTCACAATAGAGGGCCCTTGGTAGCTGGCATTGGGCTGGTTTCTTTCTCTGGCTTCCAGTTGGCAGTTGTTGGAAATCCAAGCAAAAAATGTAGGACTTCTGATCCTTGCAGAAGGCAAAGCTAGCATTCGTGGTCTAAACAAAAACAATAAACGGCTCAGCTAAACGTAGGCTTTCCGCCAGAACGCTCCCAAACTGATTATCTAGCACGATCCCCCCAAAATGGGTAGCTTGCGCTCTTCGATAGGGAAACTGAGCAAGTTCTCTTCCATTTGGCTCGAGCTCTGCCGAGTCAGCAGTTAAACTTGCTGGGCTGGGGAAAAAAGCCATTGGGCACCAAGTGCTCAGGCCAGAAAGGGACAGTGGCAAGATCGGCTCTGGACAAATCACTGGGCCCAGCCCTTCCCAAACAGTTTCAACCTCCATTAGAACCACAGGATCCCCGAATCTCCTGTGCTCCCGCACTGCGCGCCGCTGATGGCGCCCAGTGTGGTGGCCTGGCAGGTTCCTCAAGTTGTGCTCAAAAACTACTTCTGGGGAGTCGTTCCCTTAAAAAGCAAAAAAAACACTTGTAGGGTAATCTTGAGGACGTGGCTTTAATGGACCCAGTGCCCACCCCAAAACGCATCTGGCCGCTCGCCAATCAATTGCAAGGATCAACCGAGTACCCCTCGGAAGCCGCAAAGGGAGAACAATCTGCTGCGAATCTGAAGGTTTGCGCCTCCTCCCCGCGGAGCCGGTAGAGCTCCTGGCTCTCCTTGTAGTGGCTCTCCTGCCAGGCTCAAGGATCCCCATCGAGTCAAACTCCTCCCAGCGCCGCCCCGAACCCAGGCATGGCGAAGACCCCATAGCTGGCACTGTGGGGAATTAAGCCAACATCGACCCCAAACAGCAATTGCGCACATCAGCTTAGCTTGCCAACAAACGGAACTCCGCCAAATCAAGCTGCCACGTCAAGGCACTGCCTCAGGTGCAAAGAACGAGGGACAAGCAACTGGGCAAACAACTGCTTTCGTCAAGTCTTGCCGCAGCTGTGTCTTCCATGCATAGAATACCAAAAACGCAAGTAAGCTCGATGGAAAACAACAAGCACAAGTTGAGGGCTGGTTGCTCTGCTTCAACGCATTCGCACATCAAACGGTGTCAAGCCACCAGTTGTAGCAAATAATCGGAAAGCAAACACAAAGCCAGTCTTCCTATCATCAGAATCTTCGCATCCCAGCAGCTTGACATCCGCACACACACACACACACACACACAAATCAACAAGCAACCTGCGCGCAAAATCCTTGCCTCGTGCAACTAACGCTGTTGTGCAACAGAACACATGGGGCGCAACGCTAGAAGCACTCGTTCAAAAACATGCAAGACCTGCGCCAAACCTCATCGGGTGTGAACAGTGTCAGCAAGCGCAAGCAGGGAGACAAGTGGGAAGACAAGCCGTGACAATGTCCGAGTGAGCAAGCACAAGCAGGGAGGGGAGACAAGCGGGGAGACACATGAAAAGAAACATGGGAAGGTAAGTGGGGAGACAAGCCGTGAAAAGGTCCAAGTCAGCAAGCACAAGCAGGGAGACAAGCGGGGCGCGACAAGTGGGAAGACAAGCCGTGGCAAGGTCCAAGCGAGTAAGCGCGGGGCGGCAAGCGCAATCAGGAAGACAACTGGGGAGACAAGTGGGAGGCAAGCCGTGACACAATCCGAGTGACAAGCCGTGTCAAGGTTCGAGTCAGCACCTACAATCAGGGGACCGCGACAAGGTCCGAGTCATCGAGCACAAGCCCGGCAATTGGCGAGACAAGTCGGAAGACAAGTGGGTAGAAAAGTTGGGAGACAAGCCGTGAAAAGGTCCGAGTCAGCAGCTACAAGCAGGAGAACAAATGGTGAGACAAGCGGGAAGACAAGTGGGGGAAGCAATTGACAACGTCCGAGTCAGGAAGCGCAAGCAAAACGACAAGTGGAGAGACAAGTGGGGGGCAACAAGTGGAAGGACAAGTGCTGGCAAGTGAGGAGGCAAGCCGTGACAAGGTCCGAGTGGGCAAGCACAAGGAGGGAGACAACTGGAGCAACCAGCAGGGAGACAAGTGGGGAGACAGCAGGGGTATCAGCGGTAAACCATCTAGGGAACCCCAACAGCCAAGTTTGGGGAAATTTTGGTATCGCAGGCCTCCCCCGAGCGAGATGAATCCCAACCTGCCTGATCCCCAGCTCCTCAGAGACCAAGGCTATAAATCCGTGTTCCCAAGAATGTGGCCTTGCCCAAGACCCAGCAGCATTAGCCACGCACTACGACCGGACATTGGGGAACGTATCTGGCAGCGACGTCGACAATGCCAAGAATGGCAAACGACTCTGGAGAAAAGGCACGAGCTCACAGAGCATAGATGATGGAGGGCTTCATGATACTCGTGGCGCCACGGCCGAAAGTATTTCTCAGGCCCTTGCCACCCAAAAGAAACCTCAGGTTCCAATCACAACATGAGCCAGCAGAGATGCATGTTCGGGTTTCCTTAAATCTTCAAATGATTCCAGCTGCTCAAGACTGGATTTTCCAACTGCATGAATTTGTTATAGGATTTATCTATATGGAGGATAAGTGTCGTTTTGGCAGGAACTTGTTTCCTGTACGCCAACCCTTTACAGCAAGTGTCGGGCAAAGCCTCAACAGCACTGGGCTCAATGTACAACAGGGTGTCATGTCCTTGGCGGCTTTCATCTCCTTTTCCACCATCTTCCTTGGCAGAAAGCAAGAAATGTGCATGCCAGCACGTTAAAACTCCGCTGACCTTCACTCTGAAGACCGTTCAGGTATTGCATTTATCAACACAACACTTGTCCAGTAGCAATGCAACGCTTCGACAAATATAGATCAAATGCACCTCACCCAAAGCCGCTGTGCTCTGAAGGCAACTCTACGCCTCTTGACAGTTTAGACTGAAGCCAAGGACATTTGCCAATGACCCATTGCTATCGACAATCGAGACCTGCTTGCAACAAGAAAGCTCTGAATCTTCCTAGAGCCAAGGCTCATGTTGTTCAGCATCTCCTGCCTCGCTTTCTCTGCGTCTTCGCCTTTGTGGCAAAAAGTCGATAAGCTCACGAAAATAGAACATGGGAACAAACTTGCCCCCTGAAATCTCGTCCCAATCCCAAAGCATTGCCGAATAAAGGGTCCAACCCTCCAGCTGTATCTTTGCAAAACAAGCAACTGTGGTATGGTGGGTTCTCTGAGTATTGCAAGAACCAACCACAACCACCGGTCACTGTGGTAAATTACAACGTTTCCTTGTTCCGTACTTGCATGTGTCGAATCAAGCATAGCTTGACAAGTCCGCCGACATTGTTTGGCGTGTCGGACACTCAAGACAGGATAGAGTTTAACCTAGTCCTTTCCGCGACACGTCTGATACGTAGGGTTTGAGGGGGGGGGGCAAGGAGGGGAGGCCACGTACCGCGCACTATTTTAATAACGTTCCACTAAAAGTAGTCTTCAGAGAGCCGGTGTTGACAAACAGGGTCTTGGGCTCCAATCCCCATGCCGGCTCTTTGCCTGCCGGCTCTTTGCCGGCTCGGGTCTTCCGCCTCCAGAAAAAATGAAGGGGAAATGGAGGGGAAATGAAGGGAAATGAAAGGCAAATACGCGCAGCGCAAGGAGGGGGAAATGAAGAGGGGACATAAAGGGGAATGAAAGGGCAATGAAGAGCAACGAGGGGGAAATGAAGCGAAATGAAGGGGCATGAACGTAAAACTAAGGGGAAATGAATGGGATATGCATGGCAAATTAATGCAAGATGGGGAAATGGCGGGAGGATGAAGGGAAAATGGAAGGGACAGCGGAGGAGAACTGAAAGGGAAATGAAAGGGAATGAAGAGGGGAAATGAAGGGAAGTGAAGAGCAAAAAGGGGGAAACGAAGGGGAAATGAGCGGCACATGAAGGGGACATTCATGGGAGATGCAATGTCGGCGCACTGAGCCGGAGGCTCTAAAGTTTTCTTAGGATGCCTCACTTGAGGCGCGGGCTCATCTGCTCCTTGCTCCTGCGCATATCCTGGTGGTCGGCATGGGCCTTCTTGTGCAGCTCCAGGCTCTTGTAGGCTTCGTCGTGCCTGGCCATAGTGCATTCCCTCTCGAAAATCGCACGTGAAAAAACAGATCCACCAAGTCACAGTGACGATCTGATACAATGGCTGTGTCTTTTTTAGGAGACCCCTCAAAACGGCGCTCTTCGGTTTTCCTTTTGGTTTCCCTTCAAAACCAAGCAAAAGGGGGGGTACCGAGCCCCCCCCCCCCGGGTTTAGGGTTTAGGGCTTAGGGTTGCCATGGAACGAATCTCTCCGCCGGTTGCTGAGGGCTTCGCTTGTCCTTCCGCTGCTCCAAGCGCTTGGCGCCCACCTCACTGCATCCGACCCCCGCTTTCAATTTCGGGGTAGGGGGGGTCCCGGGCAGCTGCCTTCGGGGGGAATTCGCCAAAGGGGGCTTGCCGGGGTTGGGCCGAAACAAGGCGAAAGGATATGCGCTGCCTCGTAAAAAGGTAGGGGTTCGTTCAATATGAACGAATATAGTTTCCTGTGAAGCATTTCGTTCGCCAACCTGAAAGGAATCGACTCACACAAAAAACCGTCGTCTGACTTCCAGTCTTAGTCCAAAACTACGGTGTCCCCTTCAAGGGATGTGTAGGTGGACTCCACACCGTGCTTCCAGTGTCCACTTGTCGTGGCTTTGTCAGTTGGTGTTTTGCCTTTTGGTATTTCGGACCAAATGCTGGAGTTATCAGATGCCCCATGCTTTGAAAATACCGGTGGCCATCGATCCTTGGGCGAGGAATAGTAAGAAGGATGGCCAGCGACCGCCTGGGCATACCCCATCCCATGTAGATGTGCTGTAACGCCGATCCGGGCGCCTCCTGCTCGTTCTGCGTCCGAATCTTCTCGGAGATGCACGCATTCAGCTGATTCTTCATCACCTCCACCTACGGGCGAGGTTGACCCCTGCCTCAGGATCTTGAGGCTTCAGACATGATCCCAGTTCAAACTACGGGTTGCAGCTTAGACAAGCCTGGGGCTGACTATGTATCCTGCGTGCCTAATAGCTGGCTTTTTCCCCGCATTACGGCAAAAGCCAATTCAACCTTCTCCTGAAGCTTAACACTCAGAATCATTCCGCCACCACCTTTTCCCGCATTAAGGTTTCCGTGGCAAGAGATCTAAGTGAGTCACAATCCAAACCCGGCATTAAAACGGTCTACCAACCTTCATCTACCCGGGCTTTGATTGTGCGCTGGCCTCGTCCTTGAAGCCGGTGAGCGAGGTCTTGGCCTCCTCAGCTCAACGAAAGTAGTTGCTCCCTGGTAAGGAAAGAACCTCCCAAGCCAGGAAGAAAGGCTCATCGGAGTGGCAAGATCCATTTGCGGTCGTTGTTCAATCGCGGAATGCCAGCCACGCCCAATGAAAGAGGAAATCATTGTGCTGCAAGGGATTTCAGGGATTTCATGTCCATAGCCGTGCCTGTCGAACGTTTCTGAATATATGGCCTGCTTGCTGCAAAGAACTGTGGCAACGCGAGACCAGGTGGGCTTCTGAGCGCAGCCGGCATGGCTTCAAGGGCTTCTGCATATCACTCAGGCCCCGGGCCATGTGGTCCATGCGCATGCGCACCAGCTGCCGATCCTTAGAAGTAGCTTGGATGATTTTTTCGCTGCCACTTCGCAGGTTGTGGAGTTTGCTGTGCCACTTCAGGAGTTGCAGAAAAGTCACAACCACAAAACAGTGCAAATGTGGTCGGCTGCTTCCAATCAATCTGGGTTCAGTCCATGGCAAGCTATGGAGCGCTTGCATTAGCCTGCGATCATCTCAGAATCCGTCATCTAGCCCCTCTCCCTTTAGAGCACGACGTACATGCAGCTTTTGGGTCGCTTGAGGCCAGAGCCGTCTGTTGGATTGTTTGCTCCATCTTCTCGTTCTCTCCCTGCACATGACATGCTCTCCAAAACCCAGCCCGGGCCACTTTCCTGATTCGGCCCTGAGCTTTGCTAGAGCTCAGGGCGCATTGGCTACTGGACGCCACGCATCTTGGGTGTGATTGGAGCCCCATTCAATCCCCAAATTCTTCGACCTGGCCAAAGGACGTGTTGCAAGCCCTGAGATAGGGAGCCCTTGATGATGGCCGTTCTCAAGAATTCGAACGGGGAATTCACCCTGCAGGGTATCCGCAAGAAATGGAACCTCAAATGGAGGCCTTGACTGTCCGGAGGAACAGAATGACGTGCGTTCAAGCGAACCACCCGAGCAAAGAATGCTCTAAGAAAGCGTGCCAGGGGATGCAGCGGAACCAGAAGGAAAGCCAACCCCGTTACAGGCTCCGTTCTGCGGCCTGAGCTATGTTTGCCAAACAGCTGTATTTTGCGGAGATGTTCATGAGCTGAACACACACAAATTACACATGTACATCTGGATACAATTGCGTTGAAAGATTGACCACATGCGAGCATGCTGAGCTTCCTCACATGTTTGACTTGTTCCGGAAAACAAACACAACAAAGTGTGTCAATGTTGGAGCGGTCTTGGAGTTGAAACGGAAGCAATAGATGGCAACAAAAGAAAGAGGGTGTTGCGAGTTCCAAGGGCAAAAGGGAGTTGGCGCTGAAAGTTTGCGGCAAGGCATCCCAACCTCTGCTGCTTGAAGACCACGCAAGAAGGCAAAGACATGGAACTCGAGGAATGCATCTGCTATTGCTACGTCGACTCTTGCCTGCCTTCTGTGAATCCACCGCACAGCAGGTCAAGCGAGGCATGGGCAAGGTTGTGAAAGTATGCTTCACATGTTCCACAGACAACTCCTGGACACTGCAATTGTCCATGCAGCCGCTTGTTCTGACACACGGCATGAGAGACATAGACCCAGTTGAATATCTGAACCCGGCTTTAGAGTTTGAAGTTTGGCTGCTGAGGTCTCACAACCTGCTTCGCAGGCCTCGATGTCCTCGAAGAACTGCTTGCGCTCCTGGAGCGCACGCCAAAACGAGAGGGCGCCCCCGACGGGATCCCCGTTGGAACCCCATTTCGCTCCAAAGAAAGCCGAGAAGAAGACCAACGCGGACAACTATTTGGGGGTGTCTTGTTGAGGTACCCATTGTAGCTGGTTTTAAACGGAAACCCAAAAAAGGATCCCTAAAACAAAAACACCCATTTGGAGACTTGATGTCGTGTGACTCTGCAGCTCGTGGACCAAGCAGTCCACATCGCCCGGCCTTCATTTTGTCCTCCTTGGTCTTCTTGCGGGTCATGTTGGCTGCATACTCCTGGCAAGGCTCAGCCAGCATATTCAAGCTGGCAGAACGCCGAAGTATGCTGTAAGGCGATAGTCTCAGGTATGGGATATGCCTCCCTCGGCGCCGTGACTTCTTGCATCACATCTTGTTAAAACACGGCGATCCCAAGGGAAACCAAAGCCCCATCTTGAGCGGATCCTTGTTTGACCCAATTGGAGATCCCGCATTGTCTCCTCGCCCAAACGCTCCAACTGCGAGTCGCGGCTTTTCATGCCTTGGACGCGCGACAGCGCGACAGAGAAAGCGGCGACTAAAGCGAGCCAGGTTGAGGCATTTGCTGAATTGTAACGGTTCACGCAAGACTTCTTTGCATGGTTGACCAACCTAAAGCACGGGCTCTGTGAAGAAGCCTTCATCATGGGTTGCAGGCGCTGAGTCGTTGGTTTTTTTGGGCATCTGGGGGAAAAAAGGGCTTGAATGCCGAGTCTGGATTGGATGTCGGTTCAACTGATCTGGCCCGTAGCCGGATTGGGTTCCATTGGGCATGCTTGGGTCAAAGGAAACATTCAGGAGAAAGCCTCAGGATAGTTGCCTTCAGGTTCCGCGCAATAAATGCAAGTGGACAGTGGATGTTTCCGCAGTCTGGCGCAGCAGTTTCCCTTTACCTTCTCCTTCCGCAGTCTGGCGCGGCAGTTTCCCTTTACCTTCTCCTTAAGCCCCGCGAAAAAAACGGATTCACCTCCTTGGATCATCACCTAGGTACCATGCGGGGCATCTGTCTTGTCCCCAAAAAATCCAATTAGACACTAGGATAGAAGCTTGTGGAGTTGCTTATTCGTCAGGACTGGTAAAGTGCGAGTGACCCTAGACCAACCGTTTCCTGGCAATGAACCAATGTTGGAAAGGGGTCACTCAGTTTAAATAGACACGCATTGAAACTTCAGACCCAAGGAACAGCACGGTTTCCTTTGCCCACACGGTGATCCAGCTAGGTCCCACAGTCTGAAACTGGCTCCAGCAAGCGCCAGCACTTTGTGGCCAGGGGCTCTTCACAGACTCCTCCCACTGCTCGATGATCCTAGCCAGGCGGCTGAAATGTCTGGATGACATTCGGAGAGAATCGGAGAGCCCGAAAACCCGGCCTGGTATGGTTCTGGAAGGAGGAATTGTTGATAGGGTAGGGTGATATATATATATATATATATAGATGTGTTAAATCTCCAATTGAAGGCTTCACGACCACCTCCGGACTCCCAACCTCAAGCAAACGTTTATGCTCATGGGATGGCGTTCGCCACGTTGGAACCTCTGGTCACAATCCCTTCTGACGCACCGAGCTAAAGGAGTTGAGGAGGTGATCGCTTGCAGCACACGCTGTTTGGGTTCTAGCCCGCCTCGTCATGCTCGCAACTGAAGCAAGCATAGCTTTGGCAACAAAACTGTCTTGCAAAGCACCGAAGCTAAAAACTGCCGTGGTGCCCACATCCTAGCCGGCAGGCCTCTTCCGATCATCATGTAGCTGTCGGAAAAGCTCCGCAGTCTTGTCCATCTCGATTTGCTTGGCCTGCTGTTCAAAACAAATGCATCCAACAAGTAGGTCTTAACGGACACCAGGTACCTTTAAGCTTCATGCGGCTCAAGTGATCGGGTGGCATGTGAAGCTTGGCCATCAGGATCAGTTGCCAGGCTCCAGGGGTTGAAAGGACGAACCCAAGTGCTAGCTCGAGACAACACGGCTGGAGTGGAGGAAGCCTTTTGCCCCTGCACAAAATATTTGGTAACCTGCTCCGACCTCCCTTCACATGAACAGAACCCAACCGCCCTCCTAGCAAGGACTCCGGAAATCTTTTGAAGGATTTCAAAGGACGGCCCGTCATCTGGGGATGCCTCCCTCCCTCAGCTGGCAGCTGAGGGAGGGGAGGGGGCACCCTCCACCCAACCAAGAATACAACGTGAAGTTCCGTCCCGTCCCATTTTCGTACAAACGTGTACAAAGAGGTTTTTGATGGGGGGACCAATAAATAACTATTCGGGAATAGAGATATCTGACTAGGTCTGGAAGCCCAATGAGCTGTGAGCGAACAACAACTGAACGTCAGGCTGTCAAACATGCTCAGACCACCTGTGTTGACACTGCTCTGTGATTTTGGTAGATGAAACTGCCAGTGTGCATTCGCACCATCAGGAAACCCCAGCAGAAAAGCATCGTGCCCTCCCCTCCCGGTGCCTGCGTGTCTGTGACCAAGTCGTCCAGCTCTTTTCGCCGGTTCGAGTTCTCTACCTCAACACACCGCTGAGTCGGAAACATGTCTGAAAACGGGGCAAAAAACAAAAAAACAACATTGGATGGTTGCGAGAGAGGCAGAGCAAAGTCAGTCAAGGGTCGAAGTATCTTTCTGTTTCTTCCTGGAAAGGTCTGGATGCCTCAGCCTGTGCAAGAATCGACGCAGCACTGAAAGCACCCAATGCCATGTCCACGTGATGCCCTGTCTCGGCCAACCATAAGACACACACCCTGCAGATTCGAAGGGAGCTTCGACGTGCTGATTCCAGTCCCATAATGTTCTCTTCTTGGTCTGTACAACGTCCTGGGAATCCTGCTGCTCCAAAACAAGGACAAAACCACATGGAAGAGAAAAAACAAATCAAAAAACAGCATAGACCCCAGATAGCACACCACGGCTACGAACCATGACGCAGCATCACAAAGGTTGTCGCGGCATCATGATGATGTTGACAGCATCTTGGTGATGTTGACAGCATCATGAGGATACCACAGCTACTACTTAGCATAGTGCGCCAAAAAATAGACGCGCAGACAACGTCCGAGTGAGTTCAGCAGCAAAACGATGATGTTGACAGGATGACACGACACACCAGCCACGAAAGATTCCACGCTACATATCCAGCAGAAAAAAGGCAGAGACGACGTCCTGATGAGTTCGACAGCATCATGATGATGCGGACAGCATCATGATGATGCTCACCACGATGAAGACAGCATCATGGTGATGCGAACAGCATCATGGTGATGGCAAAGGCAGCACCCTGATGACACCACAGCCACGAAAAATCTTGCGACAGTGTAATGAATACAGCATTATGCCGTCACCACACCCACGAACCAGAACGCAGCATCGCAGCGATTGCAGCAGCATCATGACGTGGTTGACAACATCATAATGATACACCAGCCACGAAACATTACGCGCGACAGTTAGAGCTGCAACAACGTCCGAATCGGTTCAACAGCATCATGATTCTGCGGCAAGCATCATGATGCTGCGGCCAGCATCATGATGATGCGAGAACCACAATACCGCAAACAGCACCCGCCCTAGCACCCTGACATCCATATGCGCCCGCACCGTCACCATAACCCCCAAAACAGCAGCCCAACGCAGCACCTGCGACAGCACCGGACACGTCCCCGAGCACCCTGCTGTCACGTACTGTCACCAGCACCCAAACGGAACAGCACCCAAAACCGCACCTGCGCCAGTACCCCAAAGCGCATGCCCCCCAGCTCCCAGTTGTCCATCTCGCAAAGCAATTCCCCTTCTTCATTAGAAGTTGAACCCCTATGGTTTCCAGTTGTCTGGGATATAAGCGCCCACGCGGTCGCTGCTCGAACAGCAATCCAAAACAGCACCTGCACCACCACCCCAAACTGCATGCCCCCTAGCACCCACCGGCAATCTCCGAAAATTGTGCCCACAACGTCACCAGCACCTCAAACAGCACCCCAAACTGAATGCCCCCCGCTGTCCATATCAGCGCCTTTAACAGCACAGGCACCAGCACCTCCACCAGCACCCAAAACTGCATGCCCCCAATCGCCCGCCCGTCAATTTCGCAAAGCGGCACCTCCACGAGCACCCGAAACTGCATGCCCCCTAGCACCCAGCCATCAATCTCGCAAAGCGGCACCTCCACCAGCACCCGAAACTGCGTGCACCCGGCCGTCAATCTTGCAAAACAGCACCTCCACCAGCACACCAAACTACATGACCCCTAGCACTTGGCCGTCAATCTCGCAAAACAGCACCTCCACCAGCACCCAAAACTGCATGCCCCCTAGCACCCGGCCGTCAAGCTCGCAAAACAGCACCTCCACTAGCACCACAAACTACATTGGCCGTCAATCTCGCAAAACAGCACCTCCACCAGCACCCCAAACCCCAAACTGCATGCCCCCTAGCACCCAGCCGTCAATCTCGCAAAGCGGCACCTCCACCAGCACTCCAAACTGCATGCCCCCGTGGCACCCGGCCGTCAAGCTCGCAAAACAGCACCTCCACCACTGCATGCCCCCCAGCACCCGGCCCTCAATCTCGCAAATCACTTTCCCTTCTTTATCAGAAGTTAGAACCCCTATAGCTTTAAGCTATCTGGGGAGAAAAACAACGGTGCGCAAGCGAACACCAACCTAAAAATGAAAGCAACAAACTCTCACAAAGTTGCTACCCCCTCCCCCTTCAATCACGATCTGACTATAAGCCGATTGTGCCCCCTGAATTGTGTCATGGGAAACAAACTTCGGGACAGGTTTCAAGAAGACCAGCAGTCACCAACTATGTGGCTGGGGGTCCTTACCTTTGACTCAGCGCCCTCAAAGAAGAAATCCCTATGAATCCACGAGGTATTTTTTTTTGGACCTACCCCAATTAAGCCCTGGCCCCAGTCGTGCATCTGGCAGCAAGAACCCCACCCCCCCCATGAGGCCACAAGGTGGGGACATCCCCGAGGCCAAAGCCGTGAGCTTCTCCACGGTCAACGTGAGCTCCCGCACCTCGCGCGGGTGGATCGCCAGTCGAGCCCAGCTTGCTGTGGAGAAGAACGCGTGTTCGTGAAAGAGGCGTTTGGAGAAAAAATAGATCCACCGCGTCGGAGGGTCCCGAGTTTTGCTTGGTCTCTGTTGAAGCCGGCCCAGCAAGTCTGGCAGATGCCGAAATGTTGCAGGCAAAAGAAACTGGACTGGTTTCTCTGGAAGAGTAAATGTCAGAGAAAGCCTGATCTTGTGATGCGAAATGTTGGCAAAAGTTTAGGGTTGCTTCCACCTGGCATCATTGTGCCCCATCGCGTCCAATGCGTTTTGCAAGGGATCCAAAGTTTTTTGCAACCGACCAAAACATAGAGGAGGCTCTGGTTTTTTTTGGGGGGGGGATTCCCTTCGCGGAAATCCACGTCGATTCTAACCTCCCATCAAACAGGCGCAGTCCTCGCCCAGGGACGGACGGATCTTTGGCAGATGCGCAAGCCCCTTATTTGAAGGGACCTTTGTACATACCCATCTCTCCTTTCAAAAAACCTTTGGACAAATGACTCTGAAATGCTTACTGATGTCTGTACCCTTCTGCGGCCGTTAAAAAAAAAAGAAGGCTGGTATCTAGAGATCCCAGGAGTATGAAAACCAAGCATGGATCTCCGCCCTGCGATGTCCCTTATAGACTTCTGGCGCATTCTCCGCTGCGTCTGGAAAACGGGAGACTTTTGGACTCCTTGAAAGATACAGCGTCATATTTATAGAGATTCTCATCACAGGTCCAAAGTGTCCAACAATCAGGGAAACAACTGACAACACACCTGACCCGCCCTTGTCAGCCCCGGACGCTGGGTGGCATGTTGGTCCGATTCTTTGAAAACACCCAAAGGACTCACCCATGTTGCGATGCACAATATGCTTCACAAGATAAGACTTCAAGCAAACACACACACACACACACACACACACACACACACAATTGAATCAAAGAAAGGCCCCTGCTGCAACAAGCGCTCACGACAAGCCCCATCGGCAGCTCTTCTTTTTCTCCCCAATACGTCCCTCGGTGCCAGACCTTTTAAAAGTCCCGCAGCTCCGAAGAACAGATCTTCCCTCGGCGGGTGCTCGTCTTGTGAGGCCCTCTGTCTCTTTCGACGGTCTGCAGTCAGGCGACGTCAGCCAAGCTGACAAGCACCCCAGAACCGGGGGAGATCACGTGAGACACCGCGGCCTGGAACAATGCCAGGCCTCCAAGCAAGACCCGGCAGCAGGCGCGGATTGCTTGACACCACTAAGGTGCCAAGCATCCTCACAAATCTCAAGACTTGTACTCATAAAATGTTCCATCATTTTGATTCAAGAAAAGGCCCTTGGGACCAGCTCTTGAAAGGTCACAAGCAAACGGTGAACCTTCCAACATTCCAATCAAATCCAAAAACTATTTGCCAGCCTTGCATCTCCTGAGGCTGGCTACACAACCACCTGGTCCATCCACAGCGCGCACTCAAACTCCTTGCAGTACTGGAAGTACGCCTGCAGCCCAACCAGGGCATTCCCAAGCGCGCGAGACGCAGAGTCCGAGACGCAAGCTGGGACAGATCTTGGGATTCACTTGGGATACATCAGACTCACTGAACCGTCACCAAGACTTTGTAGCGTGGTCGACCTCACGTGAGACATCATAAATCTTTCATGAGAATTCAAAGCCAAAGGGTTGTGTTTTTTTAAAGAGGGCACCCGGTGTGGGACGGCTTGGAAAGGACCAAAAAGGCAACCAACCCCAACTTTGAGACACCAATACCTCCGTTTCCAGCCTCCATCTCCCCGGTCCTGGCGGAGAGCGATACGTGTCTCCCTTGCACCGTTTGCATGATGCCCTTAGCATATCCGTAAGAACATGTCCAAGGAATCCATGTTTTTTGTCTGATACCCCACCACCCCACATCGAACCCCAAATCCCCTCTTTCGGAGGACTTTGTTTGGGGTTGCCCACAAAAAAAGGCACGTGGAACCCCCCCCAAAACCCCTCCGAAATCGGAGGACTCGCCGTCTTGGAGCTGAGCTCCGGGCTCCGCACTCATCAGGGACGTGTGGGTGCTGAGCCGGTTCCGGTTGGGCCGCGCCGACAGCACCGAGAAGAGCCCTGCACACGACGAGAGTCGCCCTCGTGGCTTGGAGCTTTGAAGTGGCTTGGCTTGATGTTTGATTGCGCCGAAAACATGGCTTCTGATCAAGATTGGTGCTTGCTGCTTGCTATTTTCCGGGTTCCCATCCCGTTTTTTCTTGGTGCCGTGGAAGGGAGATCATGCTGGCATCTTTCGCTCGCCTCCCTCCTGCTTCTCCACCCAACATGTTTCCTCTTGCCCACGACGGATCCAACCCCCTGCCAAAAGTCAACATGCTGCTGCTTAAAAGGGGACAATGATGAAAACCCCCCAAAAAGATGCTGAACCCCAAAAAAAGATCTTCAAGTCGATGCATTGATCTTTTTTGGTTTCCGCTGCGCCTTTGAAGTCCACCTCCTCGTTGAAGCGCTCGGCCAGGCAGTGCTCCGCGGGGCTCCGGCGGTTGTCGTACCAGGGGTCCTGGTTGTAGTCCTCAGCCACCGAAATGGCCATCCGCCCCATGAAAGGTTCGCCCTTGCAAGGTCCCAAAAAGGAGAACCTGACAACGGTTGGTGTACTTTTGGTGCTTTCAATCCAACCCAAAAAGACATGCCCTGCATGCCGTTTGACATGAATTGTGCTCGTGAAGCGAGCGAGACAGCATCTCAGTTTCTGTTGCTAAACCCAGTGTATCAGCTTGCTCCCAGCATCGTCATCCATGGCGCCGAACACTATGCATCGAAAGAAACATGGACTAGTTGCGGATGCAATCTCTTTTCTGCTAGATGCCCGGCCTAGCTTCAAGCACATGCATTCAACTTCAACTGCACTTCACGAGAGCCAAACAGCTGGCTTGTCTCAAAATGGAACCCTCCCAATGACAGCCTCCCTCTTGAAAAGGCACATCCAGAAGACCCACCTGACAAAAAAAGCTCTCCGGGCTCGGGGCTTCAGGAAGAAAGGTCCCAAAAGAACTGAAACCCTCCCTGAGTCCGGGAACGGCTTCCTTTGAAATCCCGATATTTTTTCATCAAACCGCAAAATGCCGAAGCCCAGAAAAACGCCAAGGCCGGGGCCCAGTTGGTTTGCACGATGGAGTTCACCCCTTGTTTCGCCACTTCGCTCAGAAGCGTCTCATTCCTCAGCTGAGATCCACCAGACAGACGCGCGCAAAGCCGAGATGATGATGTCATGGCTCGGGCCAAATGTTACCAGCCCTCTGCAGAAGACATGTGGCCATTGCCCACTTGCACCCCATCAAAGCCACCAAGTCAAAAGCTTTGGGGAAGGCGGGTCCATGCCTGGCTCTCTATGCTCAAAGTCGGCTTCCTCATGACATGTGGGCACAAGGGGTGCAAAGCGTGTGACGGCACGCTGGCTCCAGTCCTACACCGCCCCTCCATGGAAATGCTCTGGTCAACATTAGCATTCCTTCTCATACCCATATGCATCCCACATGCACGTCGGATCCCCTCATTGTCCAGAAAGGGACACTTTGCGCGCCGCTGTTTTGCGCACATTTGCCAATTAGCATTGCGGAGGTTGGGTTTTCCGATGTACATCGCACACATTGGAAACGTATAATCGAGCAGCCATTTGGCATTCTAAATGATGTCCACCAAAGGGTTCCGAACTGAGATTCACAGCCCAACTGGGATTGTTGGTCCTGTGCGTTGCCAACAAAATTCAATCAAATGAATGCGGCCAGTTGCCCATATAAGCATTTAGTTGAATAGGGTGTCACAACAAATGGCCTGTTTCCTTGTAATTTCCATTGAAGCAACATGCAAAAGAGCATCCTGAATCTTAGGAAACATGTCTTTGCAAGCGTGTGAAACCGGTGACCTTTGCCTTCAAAGCGGATGTTGGTTTTGACAAACCCTCCGTGTATCAGCAACGCCAGAATCGGAAATTTGCTGATAACATTCAGTGACTCGCAGAAGTCGCAAAACTCCTAGTATGTGTCATGGTCATGGAGTCGTGGCTCTCTCATACGGCTGAAAATCGTCTTCATCAACCTTCAGAAAGCCTGCTCTTTTGCTTCCAGTCAAGTGAGTGCCTCCCATATGGACCATAGAGTACTGGCTTTCTGCTCTAAGTACTACAAATCAACCACCCGCGAGGGAATCCAGGTCCATGTTACAGGCAAATGATCTTTCAAATGGATCCCGGATGCATCTTCAAGGAAAACGCAGGGGGGGAAACACCCATTTTAGTAGGCTTTCCCAGGCAACCCAAGGGACCATTTTGGGGGGGTTCTCCTTTGAGACAAAACCGCTTCGCCCGAACCTCCGTGCTAATTCGGGTCCGAGCGGCACCACGCTGGTGGCGGCCCGCTCCAGCACCGCGCCCTCGCCGCGGCCGGTGCCGCCCAAAATGACCTCAAGACGTTCGGAGTCTCCGGTTGTTTTAATGGCAAAACCCAAAGGAAACCAACCATTTGGGGTCCCCCAAACACTGCACGGCCAGGCCACATACGCCGGCCCCAGGAGCTTCGCGGAGCGCATCGTCGACAGCGCCTCAGGCGGAATTCCGCATCCGACGTTGGGTTGAACTGGGCCGAACCGACCCTTCAAAAAGTGTTCTGCGGAGAAAAGGATGCTTCTCATCAAACTCCCCATTATTAAAAGAGAAGGTTAAGCTACTACTAAGAAAATAAACCCAGAACGAAAGTTTCGAAGCAAAACTTAGTTCTTTGCATGACCCGTTTCCACCTCTTCCCAGGCCATTCACCGTGGACCAATTTCGCCCCTGATTTAGTTCAGAGTGCGAATTTGGCCCGTTGCAAATAGCTTGTGAATCGGCATGGAGAAAGGGTTTGCATAGATGCCAGGCAAGTGGTTCAATCTTTTGTCCGGGTGATGTGAAATGAGCTTCCTGAACAAGTGTCCCTCCAGACGGGGGGTTCCCCGAAAGATGATA